TGTGTTAATGAGGACAATGCAAAAGTTGGTGGCTCAAGTGAAGCTCAACAAGAGGATAGAGCATTAGATGAGGGACTGAATTTTGAGTTGACTTTGGGGCAGGATCTTGGCCAGAAGAAAGAGGGAAAGGATGTGGAGATGATGGATGTTGAGGAACAAAAGGAAGAGGAGGAGGGGGAGGAAGAGCAACATCGGCTTTTTTATGAGAGAACAGATGCAAATGAGCCCTTGTTACAGAGATGTAAGATGCAGGAAGCAGTGTCTTTGGATAATGATGAGGAGAAGAAAGAAGACCATGAGTTGGCAGATGATGATGAGGAGGAGGAGGAAGGAGCGGAGAGGGATGATGTTGAAGATGGATTTGATGTTATGCCTAGTGATGATACTCTTGTTGGGGATGGATTGACAGGAAATCTACTTCAAGCGATGGAAACTTCACAGATCGCATTTACGTCACAGGGGCAACTTCACGATCAGTCTTCAGTTGAGCTTCTTGCATCTAGAGCTGAGATGCATACAGGCGGTTCATTTTTTGGTAGTGGAAGTAAGAGAGAGATTGAGATTGAGCCTGACCATTCTCTCAATGGCAGCAACAAGAGGTTGAGGAATGAGGGCGCATGGGACCAGAAGCCATTAGATTTTGGTTCATGCATGGAGCAAATGCAGCAGCTAATGATGAGGGCTAGGATGATGTATGAGTCCAAAGAACAGAATGAGGAGCAATTCAACATGAACCAGCAACTTCTGATCAACGAATTGCATAAAAGGGACAGTGTAATTGAACACTTGCATAAGTCTAGATATGAAGAAGTACAAAGGAAAGACGAAGAGATTTGTCGTCTTGAACGGGAGCTTTTTATAATGGGAAATATTTTGGATGGTTACAGGAAGGCATTGAAGGATACGCAGAAGCAGTTCTCCGAGTATAGGCAAAAGTTCCATTTGCCTGAAGAACCATATTACAAAGATGCTGGTCCTGGAGGTTTAATGTTGAGCACTGCTGAAATCGAAAAGCTACGCCTCAAGCAAGAGGAAGAAAATCGATCCATTTGTTTGCTTTTGGAACAAAAAGCAAAAGAAGCGGAGGAAGAATATGCTAGTCAGTTTGAGGTTTGTATTGATAAGGTTCAGATGCTGGATAAGAGGTTGATGAACCTTGAAGATGAAATGAAGGACCTGAAAAACTTGAGGTCAAAAAGTAAAGTTCCGAAAAGCGAGGATGAAATCTCAGAAACTCCCGACTGCCCTCCAAATGAATGATTTGCTCTGCCAGATCTTCAATTCCATGGTTGAAATGCAGGTAAATGCCAACTTATGATAATGCCATACTCCCATGCACTGCTTTGCGTGATGCGTTATTTCAATCTGTTAATTGCAGGAGGTCTTTTTTGTTGCGCTGTTCCCCTGTTCTTTATATACGTAGGTCTACAATCTACTTTTTTGTGTCTTTCCCTCTTCCACAGTTGTTGTAATTTGTATGGTGCACATTATTTCTGTTAGGGTGAAACATTTATACATTACACATGTTAGACACTTTTATCTGAAAATTGCGAATTTAAAGAGAAGGAGCACCAAACATGTTGGACACTGTATAAGAGCATTGAGAATATGAATATTTAGAAAAATAAATTCAAAAAATTTAGTACAACATATCATAATCTATAGAATATATGACACCCGAATTGCACCAAATACTAAATTAAAAACATAGGGAAATGAAGAAAAATTTCTTATAATTGCAAATATTAAATTTAAAACATTTTAGAGCACCAAAAGACAAAATCATCCAGCATGAAAGGGTATGCAAAGAAAGGAAGAAAAGGCGAAGACAGGAACTCTGGATACAACAGCAGCGAACCAGTGGGACAATTCAAGTCTGCACTTCGAGTTTGCCGTTATGTGTTCCAAAGGAACTCTGGTAATCTGTCTGGCCAGTAGCTTTGTTTATTCTACTAAGGTCTTAATTTTTGTAGGTATTGGACCTATATGGTGTTAAAATAATAGAACTCATGTCTGAACCAAGGTACACCCATGCCAAAGTTAAAAGACACCCCAAAAATAAAAAATGCAAGAAAGTGTGTCGGTGGAGCCTCCTGCACATATCTGTCTGGTTTTTGTCCGAAACCAATATGCAGCATCTACATTTTAGTGTCTGTGCTTCATATATCTGAAGCTCACTCAGAAGCTCGGCACCCTAAGTAGTGCTCCGATCCAAGGAGCTATTTATGCATTATCCTTACAAGTTATAGGAGTTACAGAGGTTATTTACATCTTTGATTTCTACGGAGGAAGAATCTTTTTCTCTACAGTGAGTGCGTGAAATGTTCATGAATAAATCTATGTAAAAGACTTGGAAATCAGATACTTCAGAATTGAATATCTGAAATAAGAGAAGGTTTGAATAGATTATGATATTATTACTATAAGATACAAGAGTTAAAACATCACTTCAAGAGCTAAAACGGTAGAATGTATAGTCGAACATAGATCAAGTTGAAGATTAAACTATAAGGAAGCAAGAGTTTTAATAGTTTCAGGCGGAGATAATTCCAATTAAGTATAGGGGTCCAATTGTTGTTGGACATGCAAAGACAGAAAGTAGGTCATTGTGGATGGAAATTGCTACAAATGAAGTTCATCTACGCTTCTGCATGAGTCATAAATTGATTTGTTGGGTTTTTGCTCTACCGTTGTTTACTTAATTCTTCAATTGACTGCTTGTAAGTGTATGTAGGTTACTTCATTCAACTAAGCCGTTCCTACCTTCTTTGCAATCTCAAACCTTTACTTTGCTCTTTATTTTCTACGAATGTGCATTTCTTCATCGCAAAATTTTTAAATCTTCTGCGTTTATCTTTACTCTCATGTCGCGTTCTCTTGGACATTTTACTGTAAAACATTCAAAATTTGATCATTGTTGTTTCTTCGAAATTGAATCTTCACATTTCCTTTTTTGTGGATATTACAGTTTACCTATTAATTTGTAATTTATAATATACCCACTTTTGAATTTCCTTAAATGCCCCTAGTATCATATTAAACAAGAATCATAGCATGGGCAATTTTGTCTTTCAAATAATAAGTCTCCAAATTATACAAGGTGTTTCAGTAAAAATTCTAATAAGTTTCCGTATATTATCATGAAAAATCAAAATTTATATATTATACTTGCAAACCTTGGTAATAACAGCAGCTTGGTTAAACCCATAGATGTGCCTGCTTATGGTTATAGTTCAGAGTAGAAACTGGTATGTACCATAATGGGTATATAAGGTAGCATTTTCAGTGGAAATATTTGCTAATTGTTCGTGATACATTACAAAGCAAAATCTTGCGGACTTTTGTTTTTTCACGAGAAAGATCATCGACCTTCTGCGTAATAGGCATGTTTTCTTGTATGTGCTGGTTATCTGTGTGTCTACTAGATTTTACTCTTACATGCAGCTCTTTCACAGATGTTCAACCTACAATTGACATGTTGCTTGCAGGATGGTGATTATGCATGTATTTTGAAGAAAGCAAGCTTAAATTCCTGATCTCTAAAACTATTATTTTGGGGGCCTTGTTAGTAATGCTTTAGAGTTTCTAGTACTTGAGTTCCTGATGAATGTAGTTGTAATGTGATTGCTATTGCATAGAGGGGTATAACTTGGTTGTATGTATTTACATAATTGTACTGACTAAGAATATTTGACTTTTCATCTCTTATTAGTGATTGCATTTGTGTCCTCTGGTTATTTACAGTGCACTTCAATTCCTGTTTTGTTTATACAGTATGTGATTTTAAAATTAATTTTCTTTGTTTAGCCATCTAGTATTCCAAAATCAACTCAAGATTTTTTATCAAGGATGGAGGACTTAAACAAATTAACTTCCTATCTAGACAGAACATGTGCTTCTCATAAATTGCCAATTGCCTATAATAAATGGAGCACTTGCACTTTCCAGTTCCAGCTCTAACTAATATATTATTTATATATGCACAGTTTTTATGAGTGCAGCACCGCCAAATGCACCTTTGCTCCTCTTTCTGAAAGCTTTATCGTTACATTTGCTTTAAAAGAATTTTTCTTTTTGCAACAGTTTACATTTTTCTTGGTTCTGATTTATAGAAATCTTCACCATTGACTGGCAGTCAAAGGCTCTTTGATTACTGGAACCACATCATTAAAATTGTCATTATTTTCAGTCGTTAATCAACTAACAATGTATTCATTCAATCTCAATTTGTTTCACTCACATTTCTATTTTTGAACGTCCAAAAATGTGAAACCACATTATGTTAATACAGTCAAATTTTTCCATAACAGTATACCTATATAATAATATTGATTCGCTATAAAAATCGAGTTTTTTCGAAATTGATTTTTATATTATGTTATATTATATGTCCTCTATAGCAATATTTTACTATATATAGCAGATAAAAAATATCAGAACGAACGAGTCTGTTATAGAAATGTTTGATTGTAATAGTATCCTTTTTTACAACTTTAATCTTTTTGAAATTTGGATTCATTTAATTGTTCAAATCTACATCTCGTCGTTATAAATATCCTTTTACCAACTATTTTTCTTATCATTTTCTCATTATTTTATCATTTCTACTGGTGTAATGAAAAGACATGTTAACATAGTAAAGTATGAAGTAAGAAGAAAACATAACGAAGAAAAAGGTCATATGCGCGATACTAACTAGTTGAGAGTAAGATTCAGGTGTTCGCTTATTTTAGGCTCGTACTTGTCAAGTGCCTTGTCTTTCTATTTCCATCATAGATTTATTTATATGTTAACGTTGCGATAAGTGTGTTGACAAAAAAAAATTCATTTTAGAGAATTCCCAAATTTGTCTTAAATACAATATAAGGTGTAGTATTGAAATGAAAAAGGTATGAACAAACAAAATCATAGAGCGCACTCGTACAACTCTAACTAAAATACAATGTAAACACAAATATTATTTAAAATTTCGTAATCAGTTAAACATTCTGACATGTAAATAGAAAAAAAAAGGAAGTATTTACATTTATCAATGTTATTGCCCTCTTTGAGAGAGAATACATAGTAGCAAAAGATTTAAAAATAAAAAATAAAATAAAGCACTCACAACAAAAGACACTGAAAAAAAGAGCGTGCCATAAACTGACATAAACAGCTACCTTTCAAGAACTCCCACTTGCCCCTTCCAACAATAAAACTTTTGAAGGTAGTTGAAGAAATTAAAAAAAGAAATTAATGATTGATAAATAGAAATAAATAATAATAATAATAATAATCATAATAATAATAATAATATAACACACCCATCCCTAAGCAGAAAAACAAACTAACTTCTTATGGCCCCCTAAATTTGAGAGTTCACTGCAGAAATTCAAGTGATCTTATCTTCGTCCCCTCCATAATAAGAAACTTTCTTTGTGGGTCCAATCACCACATGAATCTGCTTAGTGCTTCTCCTTGGGCTACAATCTTTTTTCTTTTTCCTGCATAAAAAAGAGGAATTTTTACGCAAATTATTCGCTTTTTTAGTCGATATACATAAATTATAATGAGAATATATGACTATATACATAATATACATAAATTATATATATAATATATCAGCAGACTATTTCTAGTTTATGCGATTGGACAAGTAATTGTTGCTATAGCTCATCAAATTGCCTTTAATTAATTAGTCACTACTATTAATAAAAAAAGGTCTTTCTTTTTCATGGAAATTATTATTTCCCAATAAGGAAGAGTCGTTTGTACAATTATTTCACATATTAAGATCCATCATTTATTGGTACCTATCTTACTACCATTATTATGACATTATTATTTGTTAGTACTATCAATTTTCTCTTCTTCTTTTTTCTTAATAATTTATTGAACTCCGACTAAAACGTACCTAGGTGAAGGATCAGATCAGTTGACGAGCTGTTCTTTCTGCTCAGAAGCATTTGCATCTGCGGCTGCTGGTTGTGATTTTGATTGGGGTGTTAGGGTTCCATCTTCCATCTTCTTTAGGTTTTGTTGATAATATATTTGCCTCAACCTTTCTATTTCTCGCTTCAACGCTTCTTGATGAGCTTTAACAACAAAAATAACTACGTCTCAGTCCCAAAACAAGTTAGACGCTCCACTAATTAATTAATTGGCGTAGAAAAAAAAAAACTCAGCCCCTCATGATATAGAAGCATTAAGACATTGTTCGACTAATTGACTTTTAGAGGAATTAAATTAACGAATAATTTAATTAGAAGAGTAAAAAAGAAGTTAGTTTTACCATCTTTAAAAATTTTATCTTGGGCAAGAGCTGCGATTCTTTGCTTGAGGACACTGTTGTCAACATTTAGGACCAGACGTTGGTGGTCCAGAAATGCAACCCTTGGTGACAATACAGAAACTTCAGCCTTCACAATATCAGAAAGAAAAAAATAAAAGTAAGATTGATTTTTATAAATACTCTAAATCTCCAAATTAATAAAGCATATTTTAATGTTAATAGAAAAGAAAATTAAAACTGGGAATCATTTTGCATACCTGAAGTGTGGTAACACTACGTTCTAGCTCAGATATGTACTGTAATTTCCTCACCCGTGACCTTTGTGCTGATTGTCTATTTGCCAAGATCCTACAAAACCACCAATAATAGGAAAAAAAAAAAAGAATACATTATTATTCATTGTATTAATTAGCAATAATTATCAACAACCAATTTCCACTAACTTTTAATCAATAATCAACAACCATTTTATAATTATTTCACAGTTTTTCTTAGACATTGTAGTATAGTTTTACTATATAAGTTCAGAAACTTATGTTCTGAAAATTAATTTATAATACTACAATTGTATAGAGTCTCTGGATGAGGAGACATTGTTAAAAGATAATGTTAGGTGTAAAAGATGAGCCGAACGAAGAACAGAAATTCCTCCGTCTATATGTATGAAAACATTAAAACGTGACGATGAATTATTGAGTTAGAACTTTTTACCTTTTAATTCTCTTAGGATCAACAATCTTTTCACTAGAATTATTATCAGCAGTTGCATGCTGATCAGAAGCAGTTTGTTCATCGGATTTGCATGAACTTTCAACTTCTTCAGGTTCAGTCTTAAGCTGCTGCTGCTGCTGTTGCATTTCCTGGTCATCAGTGGAGATTATCGTACTCATCTTCTTTTCTTCATTAATGCTGTTATTGTCCGAAGGCGACGAAGGATTGGCAATGTCATCGTTAAACATCGACATGAGTTGTTCATCGTCAAATCTTTCAAATTCTGAACCAGTTGTTTTTCCTGGAGTTGATAGCCTTCGGCATTCTTCAACCATTGGTGCTTCAAGAAAAGCTATTGAATCACTAATGGATCTCCGATGTGAACCTCGTTTCGTCGACGAGAAGTCGAGGAATTCGTCTACCCATGACGGGTTGTGACCGGCTGTGTTGGTGTCTATTTTTTGATGATGTGAAAAAGCAGGCCAATTTGGTGTCATGTTTGGTACTTTAGGAGGTAAATGTGCCATTGGGAAGAATGAAGTGAAAAAGAGGAAAACCAAACTAGAAATGAGAATTGCAAGTGTGATTTATATAGTGAAGTGAATAACAAAACATGGAATGTTTAGGAAAAGAACATGAACACAAGGACATGAAGTGATGATTATCAACATCATCATATACTTGCATTATATTGTGTTGTTCTTTTAACTTTGGTTGGTATTGTATTGTATGATTTAAAATGAATCTAGTTATCTCAACTTTCTGTGCAATGATCAGGGATCTTCGGGAGGGGGGGAGGGGAGGGTCACATGGGGAAGATTGGGACAGCTATCTACAGCTGGTAGAGAGGTTGAGTCTCGACGGTATTACTGGAAAGTAGCAGTAATTTAATGTAGAGGAATCAGAGACCACGTGCCTTTGGAAAAAGCTTCTTATATTATACTATACTATGAGACCCCAAAACAAAAGAAAAAAATAGCCATTATAGTTTCCTTTCTTTTATTTTGGTTTGGATATGGTTAGGAATTTAAGAAGGAAATTTAACAAGAGTCGACCCAATTGGTTGGTATTCATTGGTGGTGGCAAAATAGTTGAAAGAAAACAGTTATGCACCCATATTTTTTATTAAAAAATAAGTTGGATAATAAACTTTTTAAAAAACTGGTCAAATATGGATAAGAACCATATTCTCCATTTAAAAAATGGAGGAAAACTAATAGGTTTAACTTTTACATTTGTAAAGTCTCAAATTGGGGAATCCTCAAGTTTAGAAGACTAGTAATTCTTCCAAAAGTGTGATCATATTCAAGATGTCATGGATAACATAAATATCCATATTATCCGCCGGCTAACCTATTATTTTTATCCGTATTAAATATGGGTGGGGTCAAATAATTTATCCGTTTTTTGCATTACCCGTTTTCGATCCGCCAGTTTGTAAACCCCTAGTATTCACACCCAATCCATCGTCTGAACTTACTATATTCACTCCAAAAATTGATATAGGAATCCTGACCTTCATGTCTAATGTGTCAACCTCACCCTGGTGCTCAATTGGCGAGTCTTTGTCTTAAGGCTTTTCCTTCTTCAAGTTGCTCCTCAAGCCTTTAAGTGTAATATCTTGTAGCAACATGATTTGAATTATGATCTCTTAACTATTCGCTATCATGCAAATACCAATACATTACAACTACTCACGTATAATTTTGCATGGACAAGGATTACGGGTGGAAAAATCAGTCCAAATTAAAAAATATGGTCGTCCAACCTGCTCAAGTCAATTCAATCCCGCATCTACACAAGATCCGAGGAAGGACTGCACCTTAAGTTGTATAATGTAAGTAGTGGCGGAGCTACCTTATACAAAGGTTGTCTAGAAAATTACACTATATAGTTTGGTAATTTTTATTTTATATGTATATAATTACTATATGTTGGCTCCCTTGACTTCTCCGTGTGTTTACTTCTTTATATTTTGACACTCCTTAGTGAAAATTCTGGCCTTCCATTGAATATAGGCAGCTAATTTACCCTAATACTAGAGGCGGATCCAGGATTAAATCCCAAGGGTTCAACTTTTAAGGTTTTTAATGTTGAACGCATTATATTTTTAAAGTTATCGGTTCATATATATCTACTATTTATGCAAGTTTAATGAATTTTTATATAAATTTTTTTACTCCGTGCCGAAAGTTATCGGTGCAGTTGAACCCGTGCGTAACACACTACATGCACCCCTGCCTGATACAAGCATTAATGGTTTGATTCTATTGCTCGAACCCGTGAGATATATGTCACAAAAAATAACTTTACCGCTGCTTTAAGGTTCCCTTCATGGGCTGGTCAATGACCTACCTATTTATTAACTCAGTTTTACCGAAAAAGTGCTAAACCTTTTCTTAAAACGAATTAATGAGAAAATAGAGGGTGAATCCTAATTACATATAATAACCTCTGATGTTTAGATGTATTGATGATGTAGGGCCGAATCCGAAAATGTTGTATACCGGCTACAAATGCTCAATGATTGTCAATGAATATGGTAATAAAGCATGTAATAAATGTAGATAATGGCAATGAATGTAATAAAGAAGAAATTTATCACCCAAATGTTAGATGACTTGGATGATTCTCCTTCTTGACAACAACGTGGAGTAATAGAGAATGAAGATGGATAAGGAATCTTTGGAATTTATGAATAAAAAGTGTATCGAACAATGAAATCAGTGGACAAGACAAGCTTTTGTATATTCTTTGTAGTCAACCCTTTATAATGTGCTCTTATCAGAAAAATGAAGATCCCCTTTTGTTCTTTATCTCTTCCTATTTATAGGATATTCTCAAGAAACTCTAAAAGTACAATAGAAAGAATATCCAATGGAATATTCCTTCCTTCTATTCTAAACTTTATTATACTGTTGCTTCCATGCGTTCTTTACTTGACTTCAGCACTAATCCTTTTAAATACGACTCCTCGCCATTGTGCCGTGGTCGGCTTAATCCTCAACCACGTCTACTTGCCGTTATTAAGTCTAGTCCAAATTTCGACCAATACAAACTCGTCATTTTAATCCGCTTAAATTCTTCATTTGACGCAAAAAAAATGAGATGAACGGAGGAGGAAAGAACATTCCGCTGTACTATTAGTACAAGTAGACTGTCATACACGTGCTAGTGAACACCGTCTGATGAATGGAAAAGGAGTACTCCAATTGAAGTAGATGTCAATCACAGGCTTGCATGAATTTTGGGACATGATTGGGCACAAACTTCCTCACTACTTACACCAATCCAAAATAATCATCGACATGTGAAATTCATCATGTTCCTGAGATTGTGCAGTACTTGTTCATCCGCCTCTGAACTTTGCTTTCTGTAGAACGTGTCATGATTTTCAATTTGATTTAAAATAGACCAAAAAAATAGTAGTAGTAGTATCTCTTAAAGCATGAGACTGACAACGAATAAATTTTACTCCTATATAAACAACTTGCTACCTCCATAAATAATCAGTCACAGCTAAGGCGGCAAACGGGCCGGGACCGGGCCTAAACGGGCCTCGTGGGTTGGTCCTAAATTGGCCGGTCCTTTGTAGGCCCGGACTTCGTGGGTCAGGCTTAAACGGTCTCGGGCTTCGTGGGTCAGGCTTATATGGTCCCGGGCTTCGTGGGTTTTTGGAGGTAAGGTAAGCGGACTAGGACCGGGATCACGAACTAATGGTCCCGGGTTAAGTGGGCCGGTCCTGGGCCTATGTGGGCCTAAGTGGGCCTGGTCTATTTTTTTTAATTGTATATCTAAGGCAATTTCTTGTAAATTATATATATATATATATATAAATATNTAAGTGGGCCTGGCCTATTTATTTGTTTAAATTTTTTATCTAAGGCATTTTCTTGTAAATTATATTATATAGTTGTGACTTAAAATTTTTTAATTCAAATTTAAAACACAAAATATTGTAAAAAGATATTCAAAGGAATGCGTTATAAGTTTTATTATTATGACATTAACAAAACATGTCCCAATCTTTCTTAGCCTTCCCCCTCCCATGGAATGAGCACAACAAGATGCTAATACCACCATTGATAAGAAAAAGAAACTAATCAAGATGTGCCAAAATACAAGTTAAATATTAATTTTACATTGTATCTCTTACAAAATTTCATAAATCCTTCAAGGTTCGGAGGAATTACCGTTGGTGGTGGCGGAAAGAAGCTTGTTCATCACCGCTTCTGGGCGAAGCTGCATCTTCCGCAAGTTCAGCTAGCATTACTTCGTAAGCTTCGTCTACCTCTGGCTGTGATTCTGCAAGTCCAAAATTTCTTCGTTCCGAACGGATTCAATCTCTGAAAAGTACTGATTTTTCCAAGCTCTCCCTCATAGACGCTCTATAATCACCGAGTTGAAGTCTTGCTTGACCGAAAGCGCTCTCCGGTGCCACTGTTGAAGCTTGGATGGTTAAAATGTCTCGGATCATCCTTGAAAGGATCGGAAAGTATTTTTCTTTGTTCTTCCACCATTCCAAAAGATTAAACGAGCCGTTTGGATCTTCCTTAAGTCCCTGTGACAAATAAACTTCAAGCTCATTTAGTTGCAAACAATCACTAGTAGTACTACAACCTTGAGAACCCCTGAACCCGGTCCAAGCAGTAAGTTCTCTTACTCCTGCAGTTCTTTTAGCTGATTGAGAACTAGAAGAATAAGGAGTTGGAACATCTGGTCTAGCATTATTTATTGCAATTTGATAAGCACTATAAATAGTTAGAGCATTTATTTTAATTGAGGCTTGTGTGTCCGAAAGTGTAGACAACTCCTCAGCTTCAAGTGCTAAACTATTATAAATAGATCGATACCAATATTGAGGACCACCTAATTTTATAGTAGGATTTAACAAGGCAGCAATACCATAAATAGGGGGAATAGGAAAAAAATATTTTTTAAATTTCTTTCTCATAGAATCAATAACTACTTCATAAATTTCCCCACCCTCTGAAAAATGAGCAAACAAATTTGCAAGATAAACTAAACAGTTCGAAATAGTAGGATAATATTGCCCAGAAAATTCATTTGTAGCAACATGAAATTTTTCTAAAAAATCTACAAGCATTTTAACATTAGCCCAATCCGCATTTGTAAGGTGCTCATCATCATCACTTACATGAGCATTAAAAGTTGAGTTTATGGGGTTTCTATATTCATATGCAACAACTAAACTTTCATACATGTAATTCCATCTAGTTGGACAAGCTTTAGGAACCTTTCTTTCTCTTAGGCCAAATTCATCGCATCTTTTAAAATATTCTCTAAGTCTACTGTAGGCATATAAAATTTATTGATCTCAAATTCAATAAATAATTTGGATTATATTTTAGATATATTAGTCCAAATAAATATTTTGGGCTAATATAATTGGGTTAATTATATAAGACCAATATTATTGGGCTAGCTCATTTAATTGGGCTAAAGTAATGAGCCCACTTCATTATGCCCAATATGCCATCTTCCTAGAGGCCCAGTTTGGTGCCATGTGTTAAATGACGTGGCGCGCCAAGTAAAATGGAAGAACCAATAGGATCATGCCACGTGGCAAAATGACAAGGCATGCCAAGTCACACTAAAAGACCAATGAAATCGCGCCATATGTGCAAGTGACATGTTCTGGCCAATCAAATGCGTCCATGTCACACTTCAATTTGATTGGTCGGAAAGAGTTTGTTCTTATCATAACTCTTCCCTTCCACAACTATAAATAGGGGTCTTCATAACTCAGAAAAGAAACCAGAAGTTATAACAAGAAGCAAGAGAGAGCTCGTGGATCAAACACCGC